CGCCTCCCGGGCGGGAAGCCCACGAGAAAGGAATGAATCCCTCGACCCTTCGCCAGAGGCGGCAAACTCGTTGAGCCGGCTTAGGACGTTTACATTGTCCTTTTCCAGCTGTCGTAATCTATTGCCGAACTTTTCTTCAATCACCTCCGCCAGCTGACGAGCCAAGGGGGCTGATCCCCCTGACCTGATTCCCATACTGGTTTGAGGGGTAACCCCTCTTGACCGAGTAGAGGTACTTTTATTCGTATTGGTGTGATCCCTTCCTCTGTGATGACAGGGAGCTTGTAACTCGAGACTCCTTTGGTGGGGTCCTTTCCATTTCTGTCGAGTGTTCACCATCTGTTCTTTATAGAGAAAAAAATTAGGAAAACTAGTCGTTTCCCACAAACGGCGCCAGATTGTGCGTGCAAGATCCTGCACAATATAAAAAACGAGAACAGATCTCTCCCTTGGTGAACTCGAGTGAGCCAGTTGAGTGACCAACCACGCTGCTTGGAACAGCCTGCGAGGTCCGGTGGTAACCTGGAACGGCAACGGGAGACCCTGGGGGAGCGGAAGAACGATCCAGTAAGGCTGAAAGAGGTTCCTGGAACAAAGAAGAACAAGTTAGAAGGGCGCCGGAGTGTTTTCCGGCGTATCCCCTCCGACGATCTAGTCAGTCTTTGAGAAAGAGAGAGGAAGGAGAAAACACTGAGTGTGTATTGTAGTAAAGAGTTTTTTGTTGCATACCCGTCTTGCCTTTTGCAAGGAGTATTTATACCTCAAAAGCTCATGATTGCTGTCAGTGTAGTCAGTAGGTGATCATTAGGTACAGGCAGTGTGCGCACTGATTCTGATGAGGAATGTCTTCTCTTCTTAACTGCTCGGGGTCCCGAGCAATCAATGCTGGGTCATCGGGATGCCGACGGTACAATGTACTCCTCTCGGGGAGGATGCAATAAATGCTCTGTATTAGGAGCATTTATTGCCTTTCATTTCCGAGCCTTACCGCATTGAATGCGGTCTCATCAAGGGAATGGTGTAATTAATCGTTTGCTTTCCCAAGTCGCGTGTCAGCAACGGCATGCGGTTTCTCTGTCTTCGATGTGATATCATATGCCACGCGTCCATCCCTCATTGGCTGTGGCCCCTGCATTCCAGTACATTCTGATACTAATTGTGTAAGACGAGGTCATGATGAATAGCCTAGGCTAATGACCTGTACGTCAATAGCTTATCCTGGAGTAGAGGAGGAGTCTAGGATGGTACGCCTCGGCACCGAGGAGAGGCTGATCTCGGAACCAAGGGAGGGGATACCGACCGAGGTNCGGAACAGCCTGCGAGGTTCGGTGGTTGCCTGGAACGACAACGGGAGACCCTGGGGGAACGGAAGAACGATCCAGTAAGGCTGAAAGAGGATCCTGGAACAAAGAAGAACAAGTTAGAAGAGCGCCGGAGTGTTTTCCGGCGTATCCCCTCCGACGATCTAGTCAGTCTTTGAGAGAGAGTGAGGGAGGAGAAAACACTAAGTGAGTATTGTAGTAAAGAGTTTTTTGNTTAGCAACAGTGTTTTAGTAACACCGAGGACACGTGTCTTCATCATAGGGTATTTCAGAAAAGTCCCATCAAATGATACTGAGAATTGTTGGAGAATTTGAGAATTAACACAGTAAGAATATAGTGGTTCATCAGATCGAAAGCTCGGTTAATTCACTCTTTAATGGAGACTCTTACTCCTTGTCTTTCAATAATTATGATTGCAAGAGTATAATGACTAATTTTTGCCTCTAGGGTTCCTCTCGTTTCTTGGGGGTGTTACATAATATTTATAGGACTGTTTTCTATTCAGTGGGATCTTAGCCGAGATTCTTATCCTTATTTCGTGGGTTCTCCTTGATTATAAGAGAAGACCTTGGTTGGTTACGATTAGGTGTCTCGATTATTGTTTCCTAACGTTTTTAAGAACCTCTCGGGATCTTCCAGCTGATGCCTTAGTTGTTATTGCCCTTGCTTATCTCGAAGGGACCTCCAACTCTACTCTTCCGAGTTTTGTTCGTCTAGTCTGACCTCCTGAACTGAGCTGACCATCTGAACTGACGTTTGAAATTTATTTTAAGGTATCATCAAGTATCATTTTAATCCGGTTTTGATCATCTAAAAGGAAGACATAAGAGTTGATTTTTTCTATGCTGATTATCTAAGAGAAAGACGTAAGAGTTTTTAACACCTAAAAAGCTGTATATGGTAGTTTTAAAAATAGCATTTTTCTTCACGAATTCTAATGCCAAACAAGTCACCCAATAAACACTTACTTCTTTCTCCTATTTTTATTTTTACTTTGTACGCTTTAGTTTTAAATTGTATAATTAAAAAAAATAAAAAATTTACTATTTAAATTATAAATACTACACTATCAATACTCAATTTTTTATATCTTCAAACAACTCATATCAATGTTTTACATCAATACGAGGAATCTATTACCAAAATACAATAAAATTGAAACTTATTTATCAATTTACAGTTGTTTTAAACTTATTTATTAAACTATGATTGTTTTAAAAGTGGAAGTACAAAATACGATTTTATTTAAAAGTGGAATTAACAAGTCTGAATTTATCCTTAAAAGCTTAATCCTCAAATCCGAAATTATGTTTAAAAACGGAATTAATAAATTCGAGTTTATGCTTAGAAGCGTATATATATATGAAATACGCTTTTAGTCCATCACGTGCAAAACCCAGGAGGCAGAGAGGGCTAGCCAGCGGTTATGACATCTCTGACGCATCAATTAGCTAAGGGTACTGGTGGTGGTAAAGGGTCAAAGGTGAATGGAGCATCTTTGTGCAGTGAAAACTAGAAAGTTTGACATGACATTTGCTTTAGCTCGTCAGCTCAAGAATAATTATTTTTTTTTGTACTTAAATATATGTTATTTTATATAATTTTTCTTGTTTTATAATATCTATCGTTTTATAAAATTAAAATATAATAAATATTTTTTTTAAAATTTATCCTTATCTCTATTTTTTAATAAGTACTTAATAAATTAAGTATAGGTTAAATGTCTTTTATATTCATTTTCTTTCTAATACGTATTGAATAAGGGTATTTTAATTTTATATAATTATTTTTTACTCATATTAGAGCTATTTAATAGCTTTCTTAATCTTTGTACAAAAATCTTAAACGACAGATATTTAAGAACGAAGAAAATATTAATTACAGCTACAAATTTCAAAAATACACATCAGATGTACATTGAAATATAAGTCATCACCTACTAACCATCGAATAAATTTTAACAATTGAAACTTCGAATGTGTGAATTTACATGGACTTTGACAAGTAAAAAATTTGGTACTGTAACTTTAAATTTTACTATTTTAATAAGTATTTTTAAATATTTATCATTTTTATAAATAATTTATAACATTTATAGATATTTTTATTATTTTTATAACATAATAATAATAAAAATATTTATAAATATGATAAAAATCTGTACGGTGTCCAAAATTTTATTTTCGAGTACCGCGGACAAATCTACGTACGTTATTAGTTGGTTAAGAATTGCAGGTAGAAACAAGTAAAGTCAATCTTTGAAATTCTTTGCATGATGGTACCGCACCTCATTGGCTTTAATGAGACTTGAAAAATTCAAAGATATCGGCGGCGACAGGTTTGAAAATTGAAGTGCCCTCTGGGTTTTTCCCGTGATGGATTATAAGCGTATTTCATATATACGCTTTTAAGCATAAATTCGGACTTCTTCATCCGCTTTTAAGCATAAATTCGGAATTGTTGACTCCATTTTAAAGATAAATTCGAATTTGTTAATTCTGTTTTTAAATGAAATCAGATTTTTTACTTCTTCTTTTAAAATAGTCATAATTTGATAAATAAATTTAAAACAATCGTAGATAAATAAACAAGTTTCAATTGCACCGTACTTTAGTTATAGAATCTTAGTATGAGCTATATACAGGAAATGGATGACTGAATTTGTCGTTTCTACTCACATGCTCAGTTCAAACCAAAAGACTTTATGGCAGTTGTCTTCCAGGAATTAACAGTTCCCACTAAACAACAATTAATATGTGGAGGCCTTCTCAAACTTCATTTTTCTTCTTTACTCGATCCGACATAATTACCTACTATGGCACTATCACGGTCTCTTAAGGTGGCGGTGATCGGAGCCGGAGTCTCCGGCCTTAACACCTCCCGTGAGCTTCAAAGAGAAGGCCACCAAGTTGTAGTCTTCGAAAAATCAAACCGACTTGGTGGAACATGGGTGTACGACTCACGAGTTGAGGCCGATCCACTCGGTCTCGACGCGAATAGAGAGATCGTACACAGTAGCCTCTATAAATCACTTCGCACAAACCTTCCTCGACCCATTATGGGGTTTTCGGATTACCCATTTACAATGAGTGAAAATGGGGATTCCAGGAATTTTCCGGGCCATGAAGAGGTGCTCAAGTTTTTGGAGAGGTTCGCGATGGACTTTGGACTCAGTGAATTGATACGATTCAACACGAAGGTTGTCCGAGTTGAAAGGGTTGACTCATGGAATATTGATAAGTGGGTGGTTGAGTCCAGAACGAGTGGGGTGAGTTTGGAGGAGGTTTTTGAGGCTGTGGTGGTTTGTAATGGTCGTTACACTGAACCAAAAGTAGCCAAATTTCCAGGTAAAATTTTCTAAAATTATACTTGTTACCTCCGAGTTTCTAAAATTAATGTTTTTTTTTTCAACATTAATTTAACTCTGAATCCATAAAAATTCAGTTTTTGTGATTGATTATTTATAATTTTGAGTTTTTCTTAATTATCATCGAGGTAGGTATTGAGAAATGGCCTGGAAAGCAAGTACATAGTCACAATTATCGTCATCCTGAACCATTCTGTGATCAGGTCTGTAATCACTTCCTCTTACTCCTTGTGGTTTGCGCTATACTGTTTTATCCTGGATAAATAGAAGCACTAATAAATTTTGTTCATATATTGCTATCCAATAACCCTATACGGGACCATTATAGAAGGAAGAATGCTATGGTCAATACTAAATAGGAAAGCTCATACAAATTAGTGCTAACAATGGTCGTTTAGTGTCTGGATATCTAAGTCGTGTCATGTCGTATTAAAAGTAGCTCAATTTATGCATGACTCAATTGTCAAGCGGATTTGTCATATCCACCCCGTTATGGATTTGTGACATTGGCACTTTAATTTCTCAGAAGTGCAGCAATTTACTTCAAAACTAGGCAGCATATGGGACACATTGCTAATATGTAAAGAAATGTAGAGCAAGATGAGAGTTCTAGTCTATAGAGGAATAAATTTAATCATGAAAATTTTCAGTAAATAAAGTGTCATATGCGACAGGTGGTCGTTATAATTGGAAGCGGGCCTAGCGCTTATGATATATCGAGAGAAATTGCAACCGTTGCCAAAGAAGTTCACCTTTCATCAAGATCTCCGGATGTTAAAGCTTCAAAATTGGACAACCACAACAAAATGTGGCAGCATTCAAAGGTAGATGTCCCTTGAACAAGCATATCCATCCACACTAGAAATTTTTCTTCGTCACAAAACTATCACTACTCAAAGGATTGCTATGTAAACCATGAAATTGATTCACTCTATTTACTCGTCAATGTGTTGTGCCAATATGATTTGCTATAGTAGCAACTAAACATTTGAAGTCGGTAAAAGAGACACTTTCTGCCATATCGTTGGTTGTCCTTTTTGATATGTGGATCTCTCTTTTTCGGATAGCAATTTGCCAAAACAAACAACAATATTTTTGTTTTAGAAATGAGACCCCTATTGTGTGATCAGCTAGGTACAAGTGTTCAGATGTCACATTGCGAGTTAAAAAAGGGAATGAGACTTGTGAGTTTGTGTAACATTTATCATTTAAGAAAATGCTATTCAAGAAGGTGCAATTCATGGACCACCAATTAATGATAGAAGAGCATTGGATGCATGTGTAATTTGTTTACTATGTTTAAATTGTTGATATGACAAGTCATGTTGCTGCGTTCACATCAATAAGTAAATCAAATACGGGAGAATTAAATGTTTATATGTTGCTAATTTTCCTCTTATATGAAGAACATAACCTACTTTCAGTGAGTTCACAATGTATCCTAATATACCCTGAAGAGTAAGTCAAGTTGTGCGAAAATGAACCTTTAACCTTGTATCAGATCGATTATGTCAACGAAGATGGTATGGTAGCCTTTCAAGATGGAGTTTGTGTTCATGCAGATACTATTCTCCATTGTACTGGGTATGATCTAAACACATAGTCCTCTTTTTTTCCCTCGTTCTTGGACCATAAACTTGACTATTGGTTCTTACATATGTTTACAAAAGGCACTCAGCGCACGAGACTAAACATTTCAGGATTCAGAGACTGTCAGTCTTACCTTGCGTGTGATTGAAGAGTCGTAAATATGTTTATGCAGGTATAAACTCCATTTTCCATTTCTTAACACAAATGAGATTGTAAGCATTGAGGACAACCGTGTTGGGCCACTGTACAAGCATGTCTTCCCCCCACGGCTTGCTCCGAGGCTCTCTTTCGTTGGATTACCTCAAAAGGTCAGTTTTTGCTGTTACTCTATTAAACATTCTGCTTTTCTTGCTGTTACATCATTAATTGTTATATATTACTTACGTATGTTTCCTTTTCTAAAATCAGACTATTATATTTCTTATGCTGGAATTACAATCAAAGTGGATTGCACAAGTTTTATCTGGCAAGGTGCTTCTACCATCCCAAGAACAGATGTTAGCTGATATTCAAGAGTACTATAAGCATATGGAGGAATGTGGAATTCCCAAGCACCACACTCATACTCTAAATCCAACAGAGGTTACTTTTTGTCCCAATTATTTGTTTTCAGTAAAAAAAATTAAATAAAAAAAAGACCTAAAATAAGTTGGAAAATTGATCCGGTGTTGAGCCTTGACATTACGGAGCATTATTGTCTCTTGTACCATAAATAATTAAATATTTACATACATGCCTAATAATTTTCTTTGTGTAAATGATGACAGTTTAGCTATCTGGACTGGTTAGCTGCTCAAATAGGAATGCCACCACCAGAGGAGGGGCTGAAAGAGATGTATAAGCATACTTTGAAGTGCCTTATTTTAAATAACGATAATTACAGGGACGAATGAGCTGTCATAACTGTCATTTCTTTGTCATCTTGGTTAATAAAATGGATAATGTTATACTTACCAAATTTTTTTACTAAATCTCCATCTTAAATGATGTGACATAATTTTCTGCCATCAGATGAATAGGTGTCATTAATGCTCAATGACAGAGATTGTGTTATATCATTTAGGATGAAAAATTTAGTAAAAAAATTTGGTAAAAATAGCATTTTCCTAATAAACTATTGTACAAGATCCACCATCTATTTATTCTGTTTTTAAACGACAATACGATAAAATCTCAAAAATTAAGGTATAGGTACGGTAAGGATACACACACACACATATATATATATATGCGATAATCTGTACTTGAAAGCAATGTCCAATTTAAAATATCAAACATTGATCGTGAACATAAAAAAATCAAACACTGAACAAACACACACTAAGATAAAAGTCTAACCGCATCATTAACACATTTGCACTATATATACATGTTCAACAAAGTATTATCAATATAATGATTCTTTGTAAAGACAAATTTTAATGAAGAGATTGAGACTATAATGTTGATCATTAAAACTATAATGTTGGATTGTATACTCGTCTGGACCCTGAATGATCTATTAGGATGATCGTCCACCAGTGCAGCACTATATTGATGCTACAATCGTATTGTTTTTAACTTAAATGCTTTTGTTCAATATTTTATATTCTATTACTTATATATGAAATAAACTCTTTTGATTTTGCCCGATCATATCAAATTTTGTTATTTTCAAACTTGTTTGTTTGGAAATTAAATTACTCTACTAAGTTGTTGATGTTCACCCTACATTATTTTTCTTTTTTCAAATTAGCAGATGACAGAAAAGTTTGTGGAAATTTGAACTACTAGTTCTCAAAATTTTCATATTCTAAGTGTTGATTAATGTTGTTGATGCACGTAATTAGACATAAGCTTTACGTATGTATGTGGAATATAACAAGTCTACGATTTAGTCGTATCATACCTGTTAATAGTATATTTATATGTTGAGGTTAATTAATGGCAAACACTTGATATGTTTATAAAATTGGTATTAGAGTTTATTTATTATTTGGAGACTGTATTATTTAATACCTATAGAGGCTTTTGGCGCTCTGAATATTATAATGAAAATGAGTCGGGGTATTACATATTTGACCCGACCTGGTGGGATAAATTTGAACCCGTGCTAGAAGCGGGGTAGGATGGGCCTCGACCAGTGGGACAGTGCTTGTGCTCCACCTTTATTGGTGAAGCACAACTGTATAAAATATATCGATGAGTATAAATAAATTAAAGTGCAAGAAACATTCTCATATTTCAAAGTAAAACACATGCATCGATGATATGAAGAACAGGATAGTTTCAGTTCATCTCGGTAGAGAAATTCACTTTCATATAGTGTGGAACTCTTAAGATCCAGTTTAGTGACCTAATCAGAGACGAGATATAAATTTGTACGTTTATTTTTAAGTCAAGTTCTATATATTTGTGTAACCAATTCGTTATTTACGGGTATTTTATGTTGTATACATGAACCTAAAGTAAGAACGATTATCTATAACCAAAAGGTGGAGAGATTGATCCAAAGCTACGATTTTGTTTAGACTTATTAATGAACCCCCTAAATAAATGTCAGCTGTTATTGTACTTTAGTGCCTTAAAATAACATTTTTTTTTTGTACATTGAAAATGTTTAAAATAACATTTGAACGAGCAAAATCTAACAAGATTGTCTGAAGAAGATTACAAGAGTGTAATTTCCACCGTTGGATCATATTGGAAAGTGTCACATTTATTGAATTTGTCAGATGAATTAGGGATTCAAAATGGGATGTTTGTTTCCAATACAACAGAAGGATATGCAATACTTGTTTTTTTTTTAATAATGTTGTGTGCATCATCTCTCTTATATTATCTGATATGATACGATCAAAGATATTGAATATTTAATAAACTCTGTAAGACCTAATAATCTAACGGTCTATTTTGAGATGATACACAAAGATGATGTGTGTAACATTGTTGTTATTTTTGCCCTCATTAGAATATTGGTAAAATAATCAGAGCAATGCTAGTCGCGTGTAAATGCTTATTTGATTTATTGATCTAATTAATCACAATTATTAAATTGATAATGAGTCAAATCTATTGAATTGATAATGGGTTTTGAGATCTACAAATTAATTTAATGATTGTGATTGATTACATCAACAAATTATGCCAAAACTTTTNATAATGGGTCTTGAGATCTACAAATTAATTTAATGATTGTGATTGATTACATCAACAAATTATGCCAAAACTTTTTATTAAAATATTATTTTTCAATTGTATATCTCATTTTTTTGTGGAAACACCTTTTAAATGGTTGCACCTTCTGTCCCACGTTATGCTTGAGTGTGGTGTACGAGTAACTGTTCCTAGCTTTTCTTTCTGTCTTGAAGAATGTCCACATACGTACTTGTGTAGAATATCAATTACATTATTTGTATTTACATTAGAAATTTGATACATTATCATCATTAGATTGATAGTAAATTTCGTTTAAAATTGACACTCACTTTTAATTCAATAGTCATAATAAATTAGGTCCTCTCGATTCAATCCTCTAATTGGGTCCCAAAAACATTGATAAAGATGGAATCAATTTTCAATTTGATGGTTATAGTTGATTAAGTCCTCAGATTAAATTTGCATATTTTTTTTAATTTTTCAAATATAGTCTAAATAATATTTTCCATAGATAAATCATATTGGCTAAGGTGTATGGGTGGGTTTCATTTTTTTATTTGATTCAACGATCCGTTGCATGTTGACCAGCTTACGTGTACTTAAACTAATCTCTTTCTTGGTCCAATTTGGTAAATGGTAGATCATTTATATCAAGATTATGGTATTTATGAAGAATAATTCTCTCATAACCTGACTCCAAGGAGTTGTTAAAGTTCGAACTTAAGACATTTAAATTTACAACTCATTTCTGTTGGCAAAAAACAGTTAGCTTGGTTCATAAATATTCATTCCCCCACCAAAAAAAAAAAAAGATATATATTAGAATTTGGACAAATCTAATATTTATGAAATGCTTAGACATTGTACGACTTCAACAACATGGTAGCATGAGAGAGAGAGAGAGAGAGAGAGAGAGAACAATATGGAAGATGAGGTAGAGGTATGTATGGTTTCCTAAATTTGGACTTGGAGAGAAAGATTGGCCAATGTCGCTTCATGAATTTAATGTTAGTAAGTGTAAAAGAAGTTCATCATTTGAAGGCATCACAGTCTCAGGGAAGCCTAATAAGTAATAAGAAAAAGACCAGGAAGAAGAAGATCAAAGAGAAATAAATGCTTGCAACCAAAATACTCAACATCATATGGAAGTGTGATTATCAACTTCCAGACATTATCTGACACTAACTGAAAGTGCAGAAAAGTAACTAACTCCGAAGTCCAACCGCCACCATTATGAGGTATCTACCACCACATTTCAGAACATCCCCACCCCAGTTAATATTTTTTTGGAGGGGAAAAGGGACGTGTGAAACCGCAATCACATGTGGACGAGAGGAAACCTTTATCACTGAGTCACTACTCCAGTACTCCGTTACCTCAAAAGATAAGTTCTTATTTAATCAACACCCGTGGCCGGTCCGAGATAGATAGCGGTGGCGTACGTATGGTTGAACCCACAAACCCATCTAGGTCCTCTGTTGTGCACAAGAATACAGTGCCTTGGCTATTTGATATATGTTTGCACATGTGTTTCCAATATCTCATAAGAAAAAAGGCAAGATAAAAATTGATCATCGACATATGTCATACAAATGCATCCAGCAAGTGACATGCACAAATTACTTGTTAATAGTTACAGTGCAATTGAAGTATCACAACTTCAAGATAGTTTAAGTGACAATAGGGACAAATTGTAAGTTCAAATATCCCGAATTTGAATCTTAGTAATTCAAGTCCGGGTGCGGATGGCTAGTCTTTTACCAGACCAAAGAGAAAATTAATCGAAATGCGCATAAACCGACAAAACATCCCTCTCCGTTGAACCAAAAAACAAAAGCAATTGACTTAGCCCCCATTGCCGCCTTCAATAACAAAAAACAAACTATCGACAAGAAGAAGAAGCAGTCTTGAAGAATATTGTTAGATAAATCAATTGGCTTCATACTTCAATCTCTCCCATACAACCAATCATACACAGTACTCAACAGCTTATCCTCTATGTAGTAGCGCCTAGGATTGTTTACATAAATTAGGCAGCTGTGATCATGAAATGAGCCCTAAGATGAGGCTTTACAAATTCTCGATTACTGATTTGTTTTCGATCTAATCCTCTAAAATCAGAGCAAAAAAGGAAGAAGAAAAGATCAACTCAGTTGTGAACAGGAGGATGTGTCTTCGGTGGTGAGTAGTCCAAGTTAAACCCAGGTTGCTTCTCCCTCCGTTTCCTGTGAGGGACTCGCCAAGAAACAGTAGCCAGAGACTCAGTTTGAGCAGCATCGAGAATTTTTACTCTTGGATCTTTCAGATCTTTTGGATTTGCCTTTGGAGTTGCTGGATTGTCAATGTGGTTGTCAACCCTACTCTCTTTGAGCTTGCTGTCGTTTTTAGCCACTTGAAGTCTGGTTGACAAGGAAAGCTTGTTCATCAAAGGAGCTGGAATCTGAATAAGACCCACCTTCTCTCCGTTCTGCAGAAAACAAAGAAGATTTATAAAGCTTCTATATCAAATGTTTGATAAAAATGCTATCATGGCTCAGGTCACAATAACAGTTATTAAACCTAAATACGCTGAGATGCACTGGTTGTAGCGTTTGTGATTGGACAATACAAATGTCAGATAAAAGAACAAATTGGACATTACTAGATATTTTAGTCAAATCACAGCATCATAGAACAATGACTCAAGCGACTCAACCGAATCATAGGATATGTCTCTAAGTAAATCTTATGACGAGCGAGACTCATGGCTTTAACGGAGCGTTTATCTATCTCCACACAAAAGCTAATAAGTCATGTCGGTATTGATCAATACTTTGAACTATAACATAAAATAAGAAGAAGAAGAACATGCAATTTGGACCAACCTTGTTGGGAAGCCAAAACTTGTTTTCAGGCTTCTTGTTGATGACACCAAGCTTTCTAGCAGTACATGCATGGAAAGAAAGGCATAGAAGAAGAACCAAAATAGAAGGTGTAATTGACATATTAAGCAAGATGTATCTGAAAGATTTGAAGCGTTAGTAGATATTGATGACAATATTGTTGTCTTGTGTTTGATGAAAGATGTTATAGCACTATAGCAGTGGTGAATTGGTCATATTTGTACTGAGAGATAAAATGAGCATTAAATGCTGATTTTGAAGGAGTTGAGAAGTTGTTTTGCAGAACATGCAGGTGTATGGGTGATAAGAAGTAAGATGGAAAACGAAGATATGGGTGGCCTCCCTTATGTCTCTTTCCTCTCACATTATATATCAATTGGGACCCAAAGACATAAACCCCCACCAGGGAAAGAGAAGCAACACAAGCCTTCTCTGCTGCTAGATATATGTGAAGAGAGAGAGAGGGAGTCCACAAGAGAGATTTTCACTTCGAAATCACTAGAAGAACAAAGTGAGAAAAGTAGGAGTATAAGAAAAATTAAAACTAGAAGAGAAACAAGGAAGCAAGAGCTTGTCTATTTGTTTCCACCGAGAAACCCCATTACTTGTCTTTGTGTATTGTTCTTTGTATTACATGGATTGTGGCTCCTTGTTTCAAGCTCTTGCCCCACCCATATTACCTTGGAAAACTTACCATGATTATTTTAAAGTGATTGTGAAAAAGTAAGAACACTTTTTTGATTGATGAAGACACCAAGATGTCCATTAATGACCACTATGTCCCTTTTCCTCAATTTTATAAACACTATTAAAAATATTTAATTTTTTGACTTCCTTCAAAGTGGATAGTTCTAGAGCAATGCTGGATAAATTATTTTGGAGACTTAATTTATTACGATCGTTGGATTAGTTTTGAATTTTATTGTTAGATGAAATACAATATTAATGAAGAGCAATGCAACATAGATTTAAAATTTAAACTTAAAAATTAAATTTGATAATTACAATCATTGATTTCACTGAGGGTTTCAGAACCTATTGGGACCTACTACCTATTCAATAATTATGATTATCAAGTCTAATTTTTAAATCTATGTAACATTATTCCTTGATGAAATAACTATAATTGATTAGATCCTTAAATTAAGTATAAATAATATGTGCCTTATATCTATTACCAATGTTCTTGGGACATAATTTAGTAACTTAATGATGCACTCTACTACCAATCCAATTGAATGTTCTAGTTTCGACATAGATGATTTGTTTTTAACCGGACCGGAAAAGAGATTAATCAAGGTAGTTGTAAACTAGTCCAGACACTCCTGACTGTTGAACTAAAAAAAAATGTGATTAATCTAATTATCACAATGCATTAAGTCTTCAAACTATGTCCTAATAACATAGTTTAGCTCAAAATCTTATTCTCTTATAGCATGTTGTGTTGCTCTTACCCTAAACTCAATATATTATCACACTATGACCGATAACAAAATTTATTCACACGAAAAGAGAAGAAAAATGTCAAACAAAAGCAACACTAATTTACTAGCTTGTAGAACAATCGTCTATTTTTTCTATTAATTAATCTTGAAGAAATCTTTTCATGAAAAGGGGAAGTCCTTCTTTACTTCGAGAAAGAAGTCGGAAGGGTGCGCTAACGCGCTTTAGTTTTTGTATTTGTCATTAGATGATGTGGTTATTGTATTTGTCATTAATTTAATTATACATTTAAATATTTATTATGATCTATTACCTATTTAATAATAGTGATTCATCAAATTAATTTTTTAAGTTTATAAAACCGACAAACAAAATTTGAGTTTCCTCTCTCTATCCCCTCCATAGAACTTAGAAACCTAAGAGACTGAATCAACTTGAACAATGTACCCCCCCCCCCCCCCCCCCCCCCCCCCCCCCCCCCCCCCCCCCCCCCCCCCCCCCCCCCCCCCCCCCCCCCCCCCCCCCCCCCCCCCCCCCCCCCCCCCCCCCCCCCCCCCCCCCCCCCCCCCCCCCCCCCCCCCCCCCCCCCCCCCCCCCCCCCCCCCCCCCCCCCCCCCCCCCCCCCCCCCCCCCCCCCCCCCCCCCCCCCCCCCCCCCCCCCCCCCCCCCCCCCCCCCCCCCCCCCCCCCCCCCCCCCCCCCCCCCCCCCCCCCCCCCCCCCCCCCCCCCCCCCCCCCCCCCCCCCCCCCCCCCCCCCCCCCCCCCCCCCCCCCCCCCCCCCCCCCCCCCCCCCCCCCCCCCCCCCCCCCCCCCCCCCCCCCCCCCCCCCCCCCCCCCCCCCCCCCCCCCCCCCCCCCCCCCCCCCCCCCCCCCCCCCCCCCCCCCCCCCCCCCCCCCCCCCCCCCCCCCCCCCCCCCCCCCCCCCCCCCCCCCCCCCCCCCCCCCCCCCCCCCCCCCCCCCCCCCCCCCCCCCCCCCCCCCCCCCCCCCCCCCCCCCCCCCCCCCCCCCCCCCCCCCCCCCCCCCCCCCCCCCCCCCCCCCCCCCCCCCCCCCCCCCCCCCCCCCCCCCCCCCCCCCCCCCCCCCCCCCCCCCCCCCCCCCCCCCCCCCCCCCCCCCCCCCCCCCCCCCCCCCCCCCCCCCCCCCCCCCCCCCCCCCCCCCCCCCCCCCCCCCCCCCCCCCCCCCCCCCCCCCCCCCCCCCCCCCCCCCCCCCCCCCCCCCCCCCCCCCCCCCCCCCCCCCCCCCCCCCCCCCCCCCCCCCCCCCCCCCCCCCCCCCCCCCCCCCCCCCCCCCCCCCCCCCCCCCCCCCCCCCCCCCCCCCCCCCCCCCCCCCCCCCCCCCCCCCCCCCCCCCCCCCCCCCCCCCCCCCCCCCCCCCCCCCCCCCCCCCCCCCCCCCCCCCCCCCCCCCCCCCCCCCCCCCCCCCCCCCCCCCCCCCCCCCCCCCCCCCCCCCCCCCCCCCCCCCCCCCCCCCCCCCCCCCCCCCCCCCCCCCCCCCCCNCACACACACACACACACATCATGTGTGTCCTTCAAAAAAATGGAGGGAGAGAGAGGGAGATCAGGAGACAAGGTTGCATGGCTAGTTCTCCATTGTTGCTCTTGCAAGGGACATCCGAGGGTGCCTTAACCACCAAAACCGCTTCACATCACACGTGGCAACAACCGACGTGACCCTAGTTGCCACGTGGCAGTAGTCCTCCACTTGGGCCGTACCTCCCATTTTGCTTGGTGATATTGGTCCCCTTTCTGTTTGTTCTGTTCCTATTGTTTCACGCGTCATTCGTAAATACTATATTTTCACTACATTTCAAGTGTATTATATACAACGATACTGTTTAGATTTAACTAATTATAATATTTGGATTGATTTTAGGCATCGTCAAACATTAAAATTTAGTATTGATCAAATAATTTCAATAAAACTATATTATTAGATCGTATATTACATATCCAGTCAATTTTGGCTTGTATTCAGATTGTATTGATGTAATCTCAAAAGGTAGTTTAAGTGATAATAATGAGTTATAAATTCAGACATTATAAATACAAATTTTGACAATTTCTTGGAGTCAGGTCATAAGAAATTTATTCCTCATCAATCTCTTAGTTCAAGCGTGAATGGTTTGCGTTTGACCAGACTAAAGAAAAGATTAGTCGAGATACGCATAAGCTTGTCCAGATACTCCTGATCATTAAACAAAAAAAAACATTGTATTGATTTGAATCCATGTATAATATTAGTCAATTATAATTAAATTGATTTGCTTGTAAGAAATATATATCTAGTGTAGTCATATTTGAGTTTACCCACATTAACCGTGAATTGAAAATTTTATATCATAAAACCTTATTATTTCCCAATCAAACATATCATAAACTAAAAATTTACTAAATCCGTATAATAGTTAAAACAAGCAAAAAAATCGTCGCATTTTATAATTATTCATATCTATATATACCTGATCAAATATGGCCAATGTCTGATATTTATTTATAGAATATCAATTAAATATTTTACCTTGTTAAATTTTAGTTATTTGTATTTATTCTTAATTTAAATAATTTATTATTCGTTTCAATAAATCGTGTTATCGTTTAGCTTTTTATAGGGAATTGACTAATTTTATTTCACTAATTGTTTTTTGTGAAATTGGTATTATGTTAATGTATCGTGTCCAAAACTGTAAGAAGAAAGGAAAAGAAGGGTTAGAAAGAGAAATATATTTTTGTTGGGTAAGAGTGACGGCGGGACAATAGTGGGTACCGAGGCATTGGGATTAATGTGGGAGGGTGTTGGCAATTGGCTGAGACTCTCATTATGTTTTGTTAAAGCTCAGCACTCTCGGTTGCCTCATCACCGGTGTCTCGACGCTACCCCAATTCCTAAACTGTCCATCTTTGCATGCGTATTTTCTATTTTATCCTCATTTGTACCTAATTGATTCATCATATTTAACAGATTAATAGAATACAAAAGGGTTTCTCTCAAAGATTAGGATTTTTTTGGAGGTGATGCTCAGATTTGGATTTGTTGATCTTCTTGGATTTTTACAATTGTAGTATGACGATGGATAAAGTATGTTCAAAATGTACATGTATATCCTTGTATATGTTCATAAAAAAAACCAAAAGGAGTTCACAAAGTAGGTGGTGTAAAAGTAAATAATCAAATAACTTCAAAATCCGAATACACAAAGTAAGTGGTTGTGTCCTTTCACGCCAAAATTCAAATGTATTGTGAGCTGCAATCTTCTAAATTGTCTCTCTTGCTCTCTCTCTATGCCTGTTCTAAATGTGATATAAAGTATATTGCAAAGAAAACCAAAGAGAATGTATAGTTATAGATTACAGTAGAGATCTTAAGGAAAAATAAGGGTCGGCCTTTCAATGGGTTTAGAAATTTTATTTCTAACTCAGAACAAACATCATACTGCACATGGATGTTGTATTTTAATTATGATTTTTTAAGAAAAAATTTAATTTTTATTTGTAATTTTCTTTCAATAAATGATAATATAACATGAATTTTAATTGTAAAATTTAAGATTTTTAATATTTTATCTTTGATTGAAATATTTTTTGATGTAAGTATAACATTTTAAACTTAAAGAGTTTAAGTAATATATGTTTACAAATTTCAGGGGGTCTGGGTGTAAT